CTACAGTACTTGTATTAAGTGAATTGAAAAATACTATTTCTTTTGTTTTTTACAGTGCAAATATTCATAATCAAAAATAAAGTGAGCACTGTACACTTTGTATTCTGTGTTGTACTTGAAATCAATATATTTGAAAATGTAGAAAACATCAAAAAATATTTAAAGAAATGCTATTCTCTTCTTGTTTAACAGCGCGATTAATCACAATTAATTTTTTTAATCGCTTGACAGCCCTAGTCCTGACTCACAAGCCTGCTGCTGTAACCAATGGACAATGCTGCCTCTAGTGGATTTCTAATTCAGGGGGTTCTTAACTTTGCAAACAGATTTTTCAGGTGCTTTCTAGATATCGGTAAACGGGTTAAACTGCAGTTTACTTGCTACCTGCCAGCAGTTGTTACTGCTGAATTCTCATCTGCAGGGGGGTGGTTGCTTTAGCCTTCGAACTTTAATCCCCGTCCCTCATCCCCTTCCTGCCTAGCAAAAATTAAATAATAAATGTTGCAACCATCTCCGCAAAAATAGTCTCACGCATCATTATTCAAGAGAAACACCTGGTGTAAAACCTGTGAATTTCTGACTCTGTTTGTCAAATGCTGTGGGCTGACAGCAGTCAGAGAAGGAAAATGCTCTAACTGCAAACAGCACAGTCGAGGCAACTCCTACAAATTAGATTAATAAATCCTACTGTGCTTTCAAACAGCCGTAACTCACCCAGCTGGAGATTTAAAATGGTGAAGCAGCAGTGTAAACAGTGTGTGTCTCCACCTTAGGTGGAATCTTACAACTGCCTGTAGCAAACAAATTGAACTCTTGGGTGGGTTTCTGGTTGGTTTGGTGGTGCGGGTGGAGGGCTACTGTTGGGGAGGGGGTGGTGAGGGAGATTGCAGTTAATTTTTAAAAGAGAGACAGAATTTACTAAAGGACTATCCCAAACTGTAGCTCTTAACTTTGGGTAGTAAATGTGTCCCTAGCGGCTGGCTTTTCAAAATATTCAAATTTATCCTTGGCACTTCACCTGAATGGTGGTGGTCGCTGATTTCTTAATTAAAAAGAGAAGGGAAGGGAGAAATATCTGAATGTTGGGTTCAGATGTCTCCTAGAGGAACTTCTTCATGTTCATGCAGGTTGAAAATGACACTTTGTGGGATCTGCTCTTCCTTTGTTTAACTCTCTTAAGCAAAATGGGAGCGTTCTAACTGGCTCTCATGGATATCAATTACACTGTAGCGGCTACTGGTAAATCACAAAGGGGCTCTGATTACAGCCTGGTACAACTTGAAGTAAGGGAGGCAGCAAAAATCATTTTTGAAATGCACATGGCTGGACTGGTAGCAACCCTGATATCAGCACTTAGTTTTTTTTTTTTTTTTAGTTGTGTTCTTCTGTAATTGAGTTACGTTAAAGGCATAACAGAAATAAGTGAGGCAGTTGTACAAATGCGCTGGACGCTTTGGATGAATTAGATAATGGTTTGGTATTTTACAGAGGCAAGAATTGGAATCCGAGAACAAGAAACTGAAAAATGAACTGAATGAGCTGAGGAAGACTATTGTAGACCGGGTGACCCAAAACAACTCATCCAGTGATATCCAGGACAGTTATACCCTCTTATTAAACCAGCTTAAATCAGCCAATGAGGAACTGGAAGTGCGGAAAGAGGAGGTGCTTATCCTAAGGACACAGATTATAAAGGCAGCCCAGCAAAAAGACACTGGCAAAAATATGGTAATTAAAAGGGGAAATCTTGTTCCTTTCCTTTCCGCTCCTATCACTGACTATTACCTGTCCTGATTTCATGAAAGATGATGCTTTTGCTTTGGTAAATTGTAGGTGACAGTGGATGGTTATCTGAAACTTCTCCAGTGATCTTGTGTAACATTTGGAAGGGGGACGATGACAGGAAAACAGATTTTAGGCCAGGTTTTGCTCTTGTGCACGTGGGTGTAAAGCAAAAGTAACTCCATTTACACCTGGTAATCGAGAGCCAAACTTGTCCCCTGGAATTTATATGAGGGTTTTTTTCCTGCTTCTGTTTAAAGCAAGTCTGTTATGTATAAAAATCCCCCCTCTCCAGCATTTGGAGTTGTAAATTTCCACTTCATTTTCTCAAGGTTTTAGCACCTTCCATACTTCAGACCATGATCCCAAACTCTCTCATCCGCAAACCGACAGAGTGCCCCCTCGATCTGTCATCGTTACTGAGGCCCACTCTCACCTGCATGAATCCCACAGATTCCTCCCTTGTCCACGTAAGGCAATAGGCCCAGAATAGGCCCTCCAGGAAAGGCCATTAAACACGCTGTTAGCATCCAGAGTTTGAAAGACTTGAATGAGACCCAAGGGATTTCATGATGATGATGTTGTTCTGCATGTGAAATTTAGGACTCAAACATCAACACGTATACCAGCTGGCCAAACAGCGACAAGCATGTCGATGCAGAGGATGCAATTGAGGCCTACCATGGGGTGTGTCAGACAAATCGGTAAGTGCGTCTTCATTGATCTTTACAGCAAAGGTGGGCCTAGGCCACGAAGCATAGATTCAGATCTGAAGTAAGATCTGGATGGTGGGGCACTGTTGGCTTTCGGTGTCTGATTTGGGCTTGTTACAGAGAGAAAGAGCCTTGAAGTTGGGAGTAGGATCCAAAGATCAGAGGATTGGGTCCGCCGCTCGCTGAAGGAAGGGAAGCACCGGGCAGGTGGAACAACCAAAGGTGGTAGAGAGAAAAATAAATGCCCACCTAAGTGACTACATGGGCTTCCATACTGCAGAAGCTGCGCAGTGCACTCCAGTAGAGTCCAGAAACTGGGCAGAGCACTCCTGCAGTATGGAAGCCAATGGAGTTGAAGGACTGAGAGATTTTAAATATAAAAATCTTAAATCCAGCCCTGATATAGCAGTAAGAATAGAATATGGCTTATGTTTTGGAGAAGAATTATGAGTTAGTCGTTTCAGACACTCTTAATGTCATGCTGGGAAGTCGGTTGTTAGGAGAATGCCTATCCCATTTCCCTAGAGGCAAAAAGTCTGTTCCAGTGAAATGAGCTAATGTACACATCAATGCAGTCTCAGGCATCACCCACATTGTCTGCTATTTTTGTATCTAAACTCTGAGCCAAGAATCCTCTTTGATTACAGATTTCCTAGAGTGATAGTTCATACCCTGAATTTGTCTTCCTTCATCATCATCATAATAATAATAACAATAATAGAGTTTATACTGTTAATGAGAAATTCACTTTGTGGAACTATCCAGGAGTACATAAAATATATAGATAATATCTTGTGACGAGACAAGTTAATAAGTGAATTAAATGTTTATTTTACTGCAAGAAAATTGAATATTTGCTTGTCTTTACCTGGTTATCTGACAGGAATAGGGGTTTTTTCCCATTGCAAATTTTCATTTACCCAGTATATTCATGAGACCTAACTGTTGCAGAGTTTGACTAATGGTTTCTAATAAAATAGTGTACCTAGCCAGTTTGTAAACTCTGGCAGATGAAAGCTCTTTCCTTTTCCATCAAGAAAAGAAATTCATAAAATCTGAGAGGGGAATGTCTCTCCATTTAAAGGTGCAGTACACACAAAACAAATGGTAACAATACTATCTAAATACACCACATGGGCAAGAAGAGATCTTCTCTGTTCAGTGGAGCAGAGCTGGCACCTTTCATCAGCACCACTGAAAATGGTCCTAGTTGGAGCTGAACTAAGTGAAGTTTGTGAGTTTGATGTTTCAGAATTCCTTTCAGATTTTATTCAGAGAAGATGGCAGTGCTTACATTGCACTTTGACAAATGAGTGTGGTGTAAACATTAACTAACTAATCTGCTTAATTAAAGAAGAGTGGTCCTATTGACTTTTTAATGAATCAGTCAATCTGAACTTCTGGGTGAAAGAACCCTCAGTGGTTTTGAGTCAATACCGTACTGATGAATCCAGACTAAATGCTTATTGCCTATTATTCCCAAAGCGGTTTTCTCTTAAGATAATGGCACCCCTTTGAGTTGATTTCATAACTGACCACATCTTAATATGGATAAAAAATAAAAACAGGAGGTGGGAAGGATTTTTGTCTTGCAAGAACATCAACTGGGAAAAATCACCATCCAGTCAGAATTCTCCTGTTAGTAGTGTGCAAATAATAATACTTAATAAACAGTGAAGGAATCATGTATTTGTTTGTCAATGTTTAAATGTCCCAGTGCCGAGCCTCTAACCACAAGCATGGTAACAAAACAGTATTTGAAACAACAAATTGACCCAGTCAATCAAATAAACTTTATAACTCAGCTGGCTATTCCACCTCTGGGAGAAATCAGAGTAAGACAATATAGACCAAAATTTTCAAATGGATAGATGTCCAGAGTTACGGTTTTAAATGCATATGTAAGCACCTAAATAAAGGCAGTCTGTGCCTAGCAGTACTGAGGACCTAAGCTCGCAGGGACGATGATGGAGCTGAGAATAAAGGCCACTCTTATCTAGGCACCTAAATATGGATTGAGAAAACTAACTTTAGGCACCAAAGTTTAGAAACTATTTGCCATAGGCCTGAAGAACTCTGGATGTTCTTCCATAGGTTGACTTTATATATGGCTTGAAAGCAGAGCACATAGAAAACAACTCTGAACACTGGCCAGTGTATCTAATCTGTGCTTCGTTTCCAGAGCTCAGACATTAGCATTGCTGTGAATTAGCTGTGAGATGGAAGAGGATTCACGGTAATATGCATATGTAGACATTCCCTTTCGCACACTAGTACCCTTCTATACTCCTTCTGCGACAACAAGGAATACCTCATAACCTGGGGTGGCCGGTGGGATGATAGACTCACGTAATTGTGTTAAGGCTTATCAACTTGGCTAAAAGGAAATAAATAGCTTTTAATGCTCCCACCAATTTTAGGTATAAAATCTCTGTGCACCTAGAAAATGAACTCCTTTGAAGAGTGAATCTGTAGAAACGACATCTTGGGGTTGGATGTTCTCTCAATGACTCCAACTCGAATTATTCAACTTACAAGTTTAAAAAAAAGGGGGGGGGCTTGGATTTTTTTCAGCCAGCTTTCCAAACTCAAGCTGGTGCTGAAAGTCAGGCTGGGTTATTTACTGATATATGCTTGCTTCATCTGCAAGAAACCTGACTCAGCTCAGATGTATTAGATGACTGATGTGCAATTCAGGTGCTTGACTGTCATATCCAAGGCTGAATATAGAGAGCTGTCAGGGGAAAAAAATCATTTTTCTTGTAAATTGAGCAAAATTGATCTGGAAATCATTGAGAGAGGATAACCATGGGCTCCATGATGCCATTTCTCCAGTGTCACTTTGCAGAGTAGACTCACACTTTGTGTGTGGTTTCCATTTGAGAGTGGCACATCTGACTCCCATCCCTCCCGCCCCTTTTGAGAGTTACCTACAGAAAGGAAATCATTTTCGGTTAAAAGATAGGGCTTTTCCTTGCAGCTGGGTGGCTCCTGCTACAGCGTTTTATATAGCACAGAATGTATTTCTTTAGTGGCTCACTTTTCTTTGAAAGTCAAACCATCAAGTGAATTTTATTTTCCTTTTTTAAAGACCTTCAAACTCACTTCGGAACTGAAGTGACGTGAATCATGTTATAACAAATGTTTCTTGGCCAGATTACAAATCTCATTTTATTCATTTGTAAAATGTCCAGACACCTCATTTAAAGTTATATGAGCTTTCTTCATTTTGTCATTAAAACTGATTGCTTTTTTCAATAATTAAAAAAAGACCGCTAATGCGCAACTTACATAAGAACGGCAGTACTGGGTCAGACCAAAGGTCCATCTAGCCCAGTATCCTGTCTGCCGACAGTGGTTAATGCCAGGTGCCTCAGAGGGAGTGAACCTAACAGGTAATGATCAAGTGATCTCTCTCCTGCCATCCATCTCCATCCTCTGACAAACAGAGGCTAGGGATACCATTCCTTACTCATCGTGGCTAATAGCCATTAATGGACTTAACCTCCATGCATTTATCCAGTTCTCTTTTAAACGCTGTTATAGTCCTAGCCTTCACACCCTCCTCAGGTAAGGAGTTCCACAAGTTGACTGTGCGCTGTGTGAAGAAGAACGTCCTTTTATTTGTTTTAAACCTGCTGCCTATTAGTTTCATTTGGTGGCCCCTAGTTCTTGTATTATGGGAATAAGTAAATAACTTTTCCTTATCTACTTTCTCCACATCACTCATAATTTTATATACCTCTATCATATCCCCCCTTAGTCTCCTCTTTTCCAAGCTGAAAAGTCCTAGCCTCTTTAATCTCTCCTCATATGGGACCCTCTCCAAACCCCTAATCGTTTTAGTTGCCCTTCTCTGAACCTTTTCTAGTGCCAGTATATCTTTTTTGAGATGAGGAGACCACATCTGTACGCAGTATTCAAGATGTGGGCGTACCATTGATTTATTTAAGGGCAATAATATATTCTCAGTCTTATTCTCTATCCCTTTTTTAATG